GAATTTATCATTTTATTTTTACGCAATCTTTTGATTTTAAGGCTTACGCCTCAAAACGCTTTGAGGCTTACGCCTCGCCTCACGAATGAAATACGCCTCAATACCCGAATACGCAATTTTAAACATTGGAACTTAACAATGAAAACCCATTGAAAAGAAATAGATTTAATCCCAATAAAAGGTGTAATCAATTCCATTACCTGGCAATAAAAAAAGAGCACTCATTTTGTAGAACATAGCATAATTTCAGTTAATGTCAAGCATGGCCTTTTAAGTATGTCATGGGAATAGAAACAATACACAAAGATAGGAGGAACTAATGAAAGAAAGAGTGATGATCATATAACATAAAACATTGGAATGGATGCTTAATATATTTGCATTTACATATAGCAAAAGAAAGAGGTTGACTCAGAAAAAGAAACATCAGTAAAGAGATATAGTTTTCTAATACAGTATCATAACGCTTCTCTCTCTCTCTCCCGCCGGCCCAAAAAAAAGGCAAGGAAAATGCATTTGAAAGATCAAGGCATTAGCAATATCCAATATTATGGTTCTTATGCTCAATAACCCCATATTGCTCAGACATAATTGAGTGTGACAGTTAATATATAATGTCATTCTCAACACAGAAAAAAAATGAAGATTGCATGGATACAAGAGCATTACTCTGCAAAGAGTTTCAATTTGAACATAGAATTAAACTTTTATATCTTAATAGAATAAATACAAGATGGATAGCAATAGGAGTTAGTCCCATAGTTGGTTACCATCAAACAGTGGCGAAACCAGAAATTTTTTTGGGGGAACTATTTGGTGACATTCATGCTTATTTTAGACAATGCATAAAACACCCAAGAGTTCAGTCTAGCGAAAGAAATTTAAAAGAAAACCCAAAAACAAAAAAGAAAAAATAAAAAAACAAGTAAAACCCAATTAAAAGTCTAGGGCTGTTGCAACAATGGCACCAAATAAATCCCATTTGCTTATAATTTTCCAATAATAGAGTTCTTTCACTAACCCAAATTATAAAGCCATAGTATTATTACCTCTTATCCGTCAAATTAGAGAAATTATTACAAGCGGCATTCATAGGTGTTTCCAGTCAATCACTTTTGAGCACACAGTTGTATTTATGATTGTGCGCTCGAATGTGATTGACTGTCTGCATCTAACCACACTTAGCTCAGCACATATAATAATTTATAGATAATAAATATTTCTTCTACAATGCTATGCAGTATAGGAACTTTCCAAGGAATTAGAGCTTGATCAATTGGTTTTCAAATATAAGAAACCAAATAGAAGTACAATTCAAAAATACAAAGAGTATGGTAAACTATGATGAATAAGAGACTTCTCAAGTTTGAGCAAAAGTCAAAACTAGACTAATGATAATACATAACTCTATAAAAACATATTTGTTTCCCCTCTAAAGTACAAAATCGTTTCCTCGTTTGTCAATTTTTATCATAGGAAAATAAAACACCCATGCACCTAAAACATAAGATCGGCAGAAATCATAAACAATATTGATGAAGAATTGTCAATGTTTAATTGAAGCAAGCGATTCGCATTATCTTCCATCTTCAATCACATTCTTTGCACTTCTTTATGCTTTATGTCTGAAACCTAATTTGGTAATTTGGACAGGCACCTATCTTTCAACCTTACAAATACAGTTCATGTCACTAAACTAACACTTTTTTTTGATACAAATGGAAAATTTTTGGGTCATATAAACTGATGTAAACTTGGTTAGCGTAAATTTTAGAGCATTTGGATTAACGCTGAGATGATTGAAATACATTTGATTGATTAACTGTGTATTTATCTCATCTTAAAGCTAATTCAACAACAACAACAATAACATCAAGCCTTTGTCCCACTACGTGGGGTCGGCTACAAGAATCCTTCTTCTCCATTGTGTCCTGATAAAAGTCAAATTCTCACTTAAATCTAATAAAAAAATATCATTTCTAATATTTTCTAACCAAGTCTTTTTAGGTCTACCTCTACCTTTCTTAACATAAGTCAAATCTAATACCCCTACTTTCCTAACCGGGCCATCGGAAGGTTGTTGTTTTAATGTCTTATAGCTAATTCAAAAACTATAAAATCCATCCAAACTAAACTTGCATCCGGATATCGGTTGCCCAATTCTTTCCCATTTCAAATACAACAATAATGAAAGCAAAGTTAAATGCAGAATATATACCCCATTAGTCTAGAAATAATGACAAAAAAGAGACAATGCAGCACATCAACTAAAGGATTATGAAATCCTATGCAAAATCCATAAAACAATCATAATCATTTTCAAATGAGCACTACTTGCAAGATCAAAGAATCTTCCAAGACAATGATAAATCAGAAGAAAATGTGTAAGCATGAAATTCATGCTAATTATCATCTAAATGAAGTGTGACCAACCACAACAATAGCAAAACGGTTGACAACTCATCTCCACAAATAAAGGCAATCTAGCAATACGGCAAACTAAAATCCACGCCATGAAAGTAGCTGAACAGGATAAACCAAACACAGATAAAAGAGGAAAAAGTAAAAGATATCATTTCTTATTTGATGCAACTGACAATTCCATGTGAAAATAAATGATATTGCATTTTAATCTCAAACATAAATTTACAAACACGCTCAGGGAAGGATAGATGCAGAATGCTTGCGAGAGGATCAAAGAAAAAAAAAACAAATTGATAAACCAAGCCAAGAATACTCATGAAGGTATCACAACAGTTGGGAAGCATTGGCTCAAGAACAAATTATTGGTCATAATGGATTTTAAAATCGTTGGATTTATTTTGATATAAGTGAAATTTATAATAAATCGATTCAAGAAAGTCCAACGAATTTGACATTTAACGTGATCAAATCTTTATCAGACCATCCTGACCCAAAATTGTCTCCTTTGATACGAATTATCAAAACTAAGCAAAAACATCAATACGGAATTAAACTTAAATAAGATTTAATAGATCCAATTTCCCAAAAAAAAATAATAGATCCCATAAAGTAAAATTTAATACATTTTGACAAGATTAAAACATGAAAACTCTTTTGCAATGCAACTGTTAAATTTTGTTAAATCATGACAAACTGTTACATGATTTGTTTCAACATTTAAGCAATATTATCATCTAAAATCACCAAAATTCTGATTGGCAATATTTAAGCTAAATCTAGCTTAAACCCTGCCTAAAATAGGATACCAAACAGCCCCTAAAACGCAAAAGCTGTACAACAATCATGAAAGATCCCACTTGAAATCCAAGGTCTTCTTCTTCATTCACTGGATTCTAGGACTAACAAGCAACAATCGCCTTGGGACATGCACCGATGGGAAAATGCTTATAGTAGACAACAAACCCTAATGCGCCTTGCTCCTTTGGGGCTGCCTATCAGTGACTAACCGATATATCCAATAAACCTAATCAGAAATCATAATATACAATTACAAACCAAAAAATGGCTTAGATCAGAGGAAATGGGAAGAAGAATATGAAGATGGAGATTATTACCAAAGCAAAGACGTGGGCAGCTATGAGAATGACAACAAGAAGCGGAACGAGTTCCAGGATCCATGGCCGGGGAATTGGTTGGGCGTCTCTTGGCATCTTGCGCCCAAAGTGGAGAGTGGGGGAAGATAGGGTTTTTAACAAATCCTAGTGGAGATGAAATCAATCGAGAGAGAGATTTGGAAGGAGAACATCCTCGTAGGTGCTCTTTGGCGACAATGATGGCGTAACTTCTCAATTGTTTGGGAAAACAATAAAAAGATAAATTTTGTAAAATTGTTTGGCGATATATTTAAGATTTAAAATTATAATTATTATTAATAAATGATAATTAAAAGAATATAATTAATAATAAATTTGATTATTGAATAA